TCGCCCTCTGAGAAAAAGATTTTTTTTATAACACTATCAGGAACCATGACCGAGTTTCTTCACGGCGAGTTTTCTTCTTGCTATGATTCGATAAGCGCGATTGCTGTGCCAGGAGCAAGAAACGTTGCGGACCTTGCTCTTTTGTACAGCAGCTTCAGGGTTCAATTGATAACGTTCGATAGTGTTTGTTGTAAGACGCGCGAGATGAGCTTTACGTCATCTTTAATTCATCTTGACACTTTTTCCAACCATTTTATTACTTGCTGCTACGATCTCATCGTGGCAGTGAATAGTCTATCGTTGTTTTTTTTATCTTTCTTGATTGCTTATGTCAAAAAAATTACGAGAGAAACTTCAACAACTCACAATTTATTGCAGCTCGTAAATATATTTTAATTTTAATTTTTAATATTATTAATTTATATTTTTTCTTATTATATATTTTTTCTTTTATATTTTAATTTGAATTTGTAATATTATTAATTTATATTTTTTCTTATTATATATTTTTTCTTTTATATTTTTAATTAATAAAATTAAAGAAAGAGATAGAAAGACAATTATAGAAATTTAAGTTCTAAAATTATAAAAAGGAAGAATATGTGCGCGGGAAATTTTTTCACGTCAAGAAGATGTATTTACGATATGTGTTTTGACGGCGCGTTAAAAGAGGGCTAGAGGGAACGAAAATATCTCTTTGTTCGAAAGATACATTCTTCGATATATATATTATCCGCCTTAAATGGCGGCGCAAGCGAGCAAGTGACGTGGTACGCGATGCAACCGGTTCTCCAAAGCAAAGGGGATCCGCGAACACAATGCGGGAGAAATCTTGCGTGCTCGATGACCAAACACGGTCTAAGTCCAACGGTCACCCTTCTCGGGGCTCCTTGCGTGTCTCTCCCTTCGTGGAGGACGCACGTGTTTGCGCGATTACCAGTCGCTCATATATGGCCTCGGCAAAACATAGTTGGCGAAAACCGCATACAGTAACGCGTCGTGAAATATATTTTATGACCGTGGTAATTAGGACGATCCAGTTTGAAAAATAGATGCGAATAAATTGTGGAATGCGAAAAGAAGCACCAACTTGATCATTTATTTATTAATTATGTCATTGATTTTCTCAAAACTCGATGATTATTCATGATTACAATTATAACTTAATATTATAAAAATAATTGTAGAAATAATGATACAATTAATATTAAAAATCTTGAAAAATATGTGTTTTTTTAAATATTAAATCTCGGCAATTTTAGAAGAATAACTTTAATAATAATGTAATTCTTTCTCTTGTCATTTATATTTATACATTATTTTAATTATATTTATTGTGATATTTCTGTGATATTTTAAAGTAAATTATTTTTTTCTATTTGTTTCGGGAAATGTTCTTATTAAAGAAATAGCGTAGATTTTCATCGTTAATGTTTTCTTTCGATAATATTACTCGTCTAGCCCTTTTAGTTATCGTCAGTCCTATAATCATTCTTTACATTTTTCGATAAGAAGATAATATAAAGAAGAGAACTATGATAAGCGGAAATAGTAAACAAGTTTTACGAAATACTTTTTGACTTGATTGTGAGATATATTCTTGTCTTAAGATAAGATATTGATAAAATAATATATATAACGATAAATAACGATAATATAATGTCGAAAACAATATTATGCTCAAAAATAACATATACAAATTAAATAAATTAATTTATATTTTTAATTTTATAATATCATATAAATTTATACAATAGTTATATGTAAAGTTATACAATTTAGATACAATTATGAAACAATATGTTCGTGCCAACATATTCTATTAATTAATATAAACTCTATATATATAATAATTAATATAAACTCTATTCATTTATATTCTATTGATCTCAATACATTGTGTGTAGACTTTTGCTTGCAAAGTTTTTATAACTATTTATAAAAATAAATAGTTTTTCTCGGCGTTTTCTCTTTTATGGTATTTTCAATATCACGAATATTTTATGAGAATATTTTATGAGAATATTTTATGAGAAAATTTCACGATGCGAATTTTCTTGTAATCTGCCTTTTATAGTTAAAGGGTAAATATTGTCATTTACATGTATATATATATATATATATATATATATATATATATGTATATACACGTTAGAGAAGTAGAATTGAAACGTCTGAAAGGGAGCAAATTGAATGGATGAGGAGAATCGAACATCAATCGTCATAATGACGTCCTATGATCTCAAAGGCCCTTTTGTCGAGAAGATCAGAAGCGGATCTCGAATTGCTGTTACTTGAAAGGCCCTAAAGATTGTGCGCAAAGAGACGAGCAAGATTATTCGTGTCGTTTGCATCCGGCAATTTCTCGCGTATCAAACATGTCACGTGAATTTGTGATGATTTTCTCGAAAATAATTCTCGCTTATTTCATTATCATAATTGTTGTATTATCATGATTGCGTGTTCGTTGCGGGGGAGTGTTGAAGGCTAAATTTTAAATCCTTCAATAACGCTAATTAAATTCAATTCAATAACGCTAATTAAAAATTATTACGGCTTGGCTTAGGAGGGTCATAAATCATTTCGCGCTCTTCCGTTTTGCTGAATGTCCGTTCGTCGGAAGGATAACCGTGTCCATTTTCTCTTCCTCCTTCTCCACTTTTTCTCTTCGCCGAAAGACGGAACGGCGGCGCGCTTTTTTTTATTTCCCGACGCGAATCGGAATTCGTTCCCGACGACGACGGTCGGGAACAAGACGCGCTTCCTCCGTCTCGAGGAATCCCTAAAGATAGCGACACTCCGCCACGTGTCGACTAGCAGACAGATCTGCGACCGTTTCGTCATCCTGAACTTTTCGCGAAATGCGCGGTGATTTTAGTATGTCGACAATCAGCGAAATTGTGTTTACTCTTGCTTCCCGCGAAAAATATTTATTAAATTAAGAAAACGATATTTAAGATTAGATTTGATTTCGTGTTTATGAATTTAATTCGGAAAAAGCGAGATTGATAGAATGCATTTCCGCACTGATGCACATTAAAGGTTGTGCACATTAAAGTTGTGTATAAATTTATATTAGTATAAGTAATTAAAACTGTAAGATAATTAATACCACGAGTTATTATTGTTATTTAATACGAATAATGATAATAACTCGTGGTATTAATTAACTTGCTGTTTTAATTACTTGTGCTACTATAAATTTAATAACAGTCTTTAATGTGTATTAATGTATCCAACTGAATTATAAAAGAGAAATGAGTTTTTGCTTTTCACGAGGATAAATATATGGGAACAAATTTAAAAAATATAAATTTGAAATGCACTTGAAAGCATTTTAATCTATTATTATTATCTATAATATACGGGATTAATTGATTATGTACATATACTTACTATTATATATCTAACATGGGATTAATTTATTTATTAGAATTTATATTTAAAATCATTTGTTTTTTCATATATCGCATACATATCACGTTTAGACAAAATGATTTACGTATAATATTCCGTACATTTATGTTTTACGTAATAATGTTTTGCAATCCTTGTATCTCTTCATTGATCTCGCGATCTTTAATTTAACAATTTTCTATGCGCATATAATGATTTAAAAAGAATATTTAATGAAATAATTAACCGTGACTTGGGAATAAGCATTTGAATCTCGCGGATGTTCATGGATTTATAATCTTGCATCTTTGTCGGCTCTCAGACTTCTATCATCTCTTACAATTAGAAATTATTCCCGCAAGCGATAAAAGCGATCTTCGTATTATTTTATTTATAAATCAATTCGACGAAGTTGCGATTTAGCAGAATTAAGATCGAAAAAGCCATAAAATTTTTATTCAATTAGTAAGATATCAAAAAGATTCATTCAAAATTTCTTTAGTGATTTTCAATCAAAATTTCTTTAGTCAACAAATTAATTATTATCGTTCAGACAAAATTAAAATTCTGTCTTCAATTTTTTATTCGCACCAAAATCAATTTTTAGATTTTTCTCAGGAAGAAAAAGCATGGAATAAAATCGTACATAAAAGAACACAAGTAAAGTAAAAGATTGATGGAAGAATACTAATGGGGAAAAAACATTTCTCTTCGAGATATCGGGCATACTGAAATTTTCCAGCTCAGTTGGCTGTCGCAGTTTGTATCCCAATGCGACACGCGGATAAATCAATACAGTTAAGTGCATATAAATAAACGTATCTCCATGATACGTACATTTCAAGATTATATTGCGCACGCTTTATCCTTGTTACGGTAAAACGATCTCATGTCGCAAAATAATTTTCACTCCTATTGATCCGCTTTTCGTGTTTGTGCAGAGAGCATGAAAATGCGTGAAAAATAAAGAGAGGAGAGGATTTTGCCACGATTTTCCATCATCATGCGATTGGATAAATGGTCATGCCACTCGAAGTTGTAATTGATCGAAAGTTATCGTTCCGTAACGATCTGTGCGATCTAATAATGCATTCTTGCTAAACTATTTCTCATTACGGTAGCTAATCAATGTGCATAAATGAACAGTTTATACATCGGCACGAGATGACTGTAAATCTGCGCGAACATATCCCATGTAATGTAAACTATTTTCACGATTTAGAGTATGTATATCTTTTATGATAGGCTTTGAATTTTATATTAATAATGTAAAATCAAAGATATATTATTGTACGAATAGAATAGTACGATTTGTACGAATAGAAAAAAATAATTTTCAATATATTTTTAATTTTATTCTTTTGGTTTAATATATATAAATTTTATTTAATTTAATAAACTAAAAGTTTTATTTAATTTAATAAACTAAAATTTTATTTAATTTAATAAACTAAAAGTAAAATTAAAAATATATATGTGTGTGTATTTTTTTAACAGTGTGGTTTAAAGAAAAAGTTTTTTTCTGAAATATATGTCAAAATTTATTTATTAATACTATTGCAATATTGTAATATTTAACTATTTTTTCTTCTTTTTTATTGCAGCAAAATTATCTCATGAGATTCGGTTATTTACCCCAGACTGATTTCGAGACGGGAAATCTACGGACAGAGGACCAACTCAAGGATGCTATAAGAAATCTACAGGTGAGCGAAATTATGACATAGAGATATGATCGTGTCATGTACTATAACAAAAAAAACTAGTAATTTAATAGTTTTAGTTTTACAATTTTAAATGTAAAATATATGACTTGTATATTTTGCTTAAAATTTTCTCATCTTAGAATTTCAATTGAAACAACTTACTCAAACTTTTGACTTACTAATTAGTAGATAAAACTCGATTGCGTGCCAACTTCTGTAAATCGGCTTAAATCAATGATTGTTCTCGTTGTAACTTATACATCATTTGGAGATAACGCGAATCAAATGCATTGTGAATCAAATAGAGTCTCAAGCGAATTTTTCCATTCCATGAAAGTACGTATATACCTATCTCAAAAACGCGATCGATTGAATACGGATTTTCTAGAAGCCGTCTTGAGCGAGTCGATGAAAATCCTGTCGAAGGAAGTAGGGAAATGGGGCAAAATGTCCTAAGGGATTCCTTCGAGTGTCGGATATATGCTTCTTCTCGATTCTCATGCAAATCTTTATTGAGTAAGCTCGAGTAGCATTTTTTACTATTATATTTTCCGCTCGCAAACGATTGCATTCCATTAACCATTCTGCGAGGGAAGTGGGCGGAAGGGCAGGATATATAACTTGATCGAGGGTATCAGACTTAAATGCGAAATGGAACGCATCGGAATACTTTGGATGTTCTATAATCTTGGGTCCAGAGGGGAGCTCGAGTTTTATCCATTGACGTTATCCATTTCCTCGATGGTTTTATCGATAATCGCGTTTGTCAGATTCCGGACGCGTTTCTGGTTGAAATGCTCGAAAGCGTTTATCTCTCTTCGAAAAGATAGAACTTTGTTGACTGAAAGAAGCGATTATGTTTCCAGAAAAAAACTATTCAATGAGCTTGTCGAAATATCAATGACATATAAAACAATGAAATATTATGGATTCGTTGATTTTTATATTTATTTCGAAATATTGTTTTGTGTAAAAGAGTGCGCTTTAGTTAAAATATTCCAGAATTTATATAGAGAAAAATGAATAAAATGTTTAACTTTTTGGTGCACGAATTTTTATATACAATATTATTATTTGATTTTGCAAAAAACAATTTTTCACAGCATTTTTCGTTTATTAGAAGCAAAGAAAAAATTTAAAAAAATTTGTATTATAAATATTCAAATCCATAATTTTTAGCACTTTTTATCTTTTTTAACATTGATCACAGATAGAATAAAGAAAATGCAATTTCTAATAATTTTTTACATTTCAGTGAACTTTTTAAAAATAATATTTCGTTTTCGAGAGATTATATTGCATATATATATTTACATTCTTGTTAGAAATTCGGTGGTATTCCCGTCACGGGGGAGATCGATGAGGCAACGAAGGGATTAATGACTGCCAAGAGATGCGGACTGCCAGATCAGCCGGATCCTAGATTTATCAGGACGAGGCATAAGCGATTCACCATCCACGGACAACAATGGCAATATCGAAATCTCACCTGGAGGTAAGTACACTTTAAAAATATTAGTCGAATATTGTTTAGAAATAAGAAAAATAATAATAATTCAAAAACAAACAATAGCGAACATGAAACAAAATTCGACTAAAAATTAAAGGAATCATAGGATGAATCTTTCAAAAATGTTGACATAATATTCTTATACTCAATATTCCTGATAAGGCAGTTTATAAAATCATTTTACAAATTTTTTATAGGACGAAAGTCTTCTCATTGTTACTAAAAGTATATGAATTATTTTAATCATTTATTTGCGCGAAGTTTTGACATTTTACATTGACTTGAGAAATTGTCAAAATTTTTATTTGGATTTTTATCGAAAATTGAAAACAAAGTCGCATATGAGAAAATTTCAATCTTCAATTTTAATTTGTCTTTTTTTTGCACGAAACGTCATGCGTTTTCGAGCCTTTCTTACTGACGCACTTCGCGCGCGCGTATATTTATCTTTTGTTAAATTATTCAAGAATTTCGACGACGGGAACGCATTCGAAACGAATCGCAAGTCACGCGTGTCAAGATGCGGCGACGCGACGCGTTTTTCGCGAGAACCCGCGGACGGAATTATCGCGGCGCATCGTAAGTAACGATAATAATATCCTCGTCGAGATGTTTCTCGACGCGACGATAACTCATCTGTATAGGTACCTGTTGGTTAGAGACGATCCAAACAGGATGTCTGGCCCCTTAATTGCGGGCTTCCTCGTGTCGGGGCCTCGCCCCGCATTAATGTACTAACTCGCCTCGGAAATGCCATTGACATTGTTGGTCCCCGGCCAACTGGCGGCTTCTTGCGAATTGCAGAACGATGGGAACCGAGCGTCTCTTGCCGAGAAATTAAGAAACGCTTTAGCTCGTAGAAACACGGTATTTACACGCTATTTTTCTTGGCACGCGTCTCTCTTCATCGACACATGTTCTTATCTTCAACAATAAATCTTAACACTTTATAGCTTCATCTGGATATATCTTCTTGTCTTTTATTACTTATAAATTTGAGAGAAAATATATTCTCTTCGACACAATCTTATGAAGTTTGAAATTGGATTTGGCAAATGTGTAAGATATATTTGAAAAATAAGTACTCAAGAATAAAATATGTACGATATACAATTTTAATTTTATTTAAACATATTTGAAAGGAATATTAAAAAATAAAAGAACAATATATTCTAATACTTTAACGATGCAGTTTGCACGATAATTTAATCGTTATTTAATCATTATTGTTTTGGGAAATATTATTATGTATGAATTGAACTATTTCCATTGTTTTATTATTTAAAAAATTAATTAATTAATATGTGTCTGTGAACACATGTTGAACGTTAGCGGTAAAATAGATCTCTGTTTTGATGTTATGCCGGTATCATAGAAAACTTCTAAAGCCTTCATGTTGGTAGGGAGACAAGCTGCAATATCGGTTATATTTCAGTGCATCATGTGGCACCCTCTAACAATTAATCGATAGTCGTGATTTTATTAATTCATAATTGAAAAATGTTAAAAATTTAAATTATGAAGTTCGCATTTTTTATCTTCTTTTGTTGAAATAATTAATATTGTATCGTAATATAGTTTTTATTTTATTTTTGCACAAGTTTGCTTTTAATAGTAAAAATAAAAGAATATTTTATCTTTTAATACAAATGTACTATTGTAGTTTTTTAATTATTATTATTGTTAAAATATTTTTCAATATTATGCGTTTTAAAATACATATTCCGAAATAGTACACAAAAACAATTCTTTTTGGCGATTCTAATTTCTATTTATGACATATGGATTATTCGAACTGCATTTTTATTTTGTTGTTTTGACTTTTTTATTATATTTATAAACTGGATTGCAAGTTTGTACATTTTTAAATGAACATTTTAAACGTTTCACTAAAATATAGAGGAAGGAGATATATCTACATTCTATTTTATTAATCTATTTTAATTAATAAATAGAATTAAAGATAAGTTCGAGATAACTTGAAGATAAGTTAAGATAAATTTAAGAACGTGAATACACTGACCTGTCATATTTTCATTGTTAATTATCTCTGCATTGTTCAAAGTGCATTTGAACGGCTTTGCAAATTACACTCGATGATAACGTGCGGTATCTATTACGGTCGTTAATATTCAGACATGCTAATTAGCGCGAATCCTACACTGAGCTCGTTATTAATTAGCCGCTTTAACGAGTCGCCGAATTTATCCTACGGTAGCAACGCGAACAGAGAGGATCTCGCGAAGGACGAAAAACATTCCCGTAATTTTCACTTTCCGGGAAAATCCACGGTATATGTACTCTACGTCCGTCGTGCAATCGGAACAATCAGAATCAAAGTGCGTTGCCTACCTGGATTGGATAGGTCGAGTGATTAACTTCGTTATCCGGTTATCGCGCTACGGCTTATCCGCGAATTTTGCGAGAGGACCGATGGATGTCCAGGCCTTTGTGTACGGATTTCGATCGGGGCAAATTTGGTAGACTTTCATGCGCATCGATGAGAGTTTATTTACCCTCTTCTAACTTGATTCTATTTGTTCCTCCCAACGTGTATGAAGTCAAAGGAAAATGCGAGCTTTTTATCGAGGGAGAGAAGTTTGCTAGAATTGTTGGATTTTCATTTTCATGCAAATAATTTGTATTTTTTGTACTTCATCGTCAAAAGGATAGCTTTAAATAATGTGCGATTACTTTTATTTCAACGCGATTAGGAATTCGTATATATATATCGATTTTTGAAAATTAAAAATAAATTTTATTTTCTCAAAATCACACGTGCATATCATATATATGCATGATTTTTTACGCAAATATATATTTAATTAAAAAAAAATATAGAGCGAAGAAGAATATCTTTATATCCTGTTGCTTCTTAGATAGTAAAGAAATTAAATTCTTTTTTAATTTGCGACGTTAAATGTGCGGTGCAATTTTAAATTGGAGTAGAGCGCTACGCAACCTAATGGCAATTACGAGGTGAGAAATTCACAACGACGGCACTTTGCCTAATTTTCCCTACGTTGCTTGAACGAGCAATTCGAAATTAGTGTCTCGACGTTCCGAAGCTTCGAGTGTCTGGATGCCTGGAAATTTTGTCTGCTCCTCCTCAATTTTATATTAAGTGTAATGCAAAGTAATTCAGTGAAATTAATTTAAGACAAGCTTTTAATATTTATTAAATATACAGCTCTTGCGCGAACCTCTAACTGGCAAGAAAATATTTAATGATCCTTTTAAGGAGATCAAATCTTGTTGAAATATTTTCTAATGATAAGTAAATAAATTACAGGAAGAAAATTATATAATATTATTATTAGAATATTTTTATTATTAAAACTTTAAGTTATCATGTTAGATAACATCATAATATCGTGTGGTTTGGAAATTCATACAATTATTGTACATATTACGCTTGCAAAAGGCAAATAAAATTATACTTTTAAATTTTTACACGAAATATTGAAGATTTCGCAATATTATAGTAATCTTTTAAAATCGATAACTGTTAACGCGACAAATATTTACGAGTGACAGTTTGCGATATCGATATCGTCGCGAAAATTTGCGTTTGATTCGCAGGAGAAATTTCTAGTCAGTCTAGTATTGGCTTATGGACTGTCACTGTTTAGAAACAGCTGAACATTTCTACAGACTGCATGATCCGCGGTGGCACAGTAGGATTCATCATCATCGTCTCGCGCGACAAGCCAACCGAGCTTTGAACAGACAAGGGCGAATCCGCAAAGCTGCAAGTCAAGAGTTGATTTACTGTATTTGTCTTTGCGAATATAGCGGAGAAACGTCTCTTTGTAAAAATGCGGAAAGATTCGCGTGTATTTGCGCGGTAATATCAAAACGCTTCGCTTCATAATGTTGAAATAAAAACCTTGTGTAAAGGAAGAAATAAGTAAGAATACCATTAATTTTATCGGATATTCGTGGTGAAAAGAAAATGCACAAGAAATGTCACATTTTTATAGAAGCTATTTTGTTAATTGGATTAAATCAATTCTTTCCTTTTATGACTTTCTCTCTTTCTTTTTTTTATAAAATGTAAAATTAACTTTTTTATAAAATTGTTTATTAAATTAATAGTAAATTAAATATAAAACTTGCGTACGTAATCAAGAATTAATAATATTTTGAGTCATCGAGAGATTTTTTCTGCTTTGAATTTTAATTCTTAATTTAACATCTATATACTTTCATATTTTAAGCATAGTTAAATTATTTTCTCTTTTAAATTATTTAATTTACAGTTTTGTCAAAAGCTCTTTTTAAATTTTTAAGTGGAAAATTCATTTACTGTTTATGTATTAATCAAACTAGAGATGTTTAATTTCTATATAAATTAAATTTACCCAAAATTCTTTAAAATTTAACGTGAAGTAATTGAAATAAAAAGTAGGAGCAAAATTTTGACTTAGATCATTAAGAATATTTAAATTTGATTTCTATCTTTTTTTATAAAAGTTATTATCTGATTATCTTTTATATATTATAATTAGAGTCGATTAAAATAATTAAAGCGACATTATTTACTCAGTGATACTATAAAAACATTCCAGAATCATAAATAATCCAGTAGGCTTTACGAGTTATTGTTTGTTCGTAAATTTTTGAAAAGCAAAATAGAAATGCAATATTAAAATAGAAAAAATATCATATATGCTATCATGTGTCGATGGTTTTCGAATCATTTGGCACGAAGTTAATTTTTCGCAAAAAAATCAACGATTGGCCTGATTTTTCCAATCTTTCTGTCTCTCTCCCTTTCCATTTCGCGTCTCTCTTTTCCTCGATTTATATTTCTCTCTTGATATCGACATCGCCAAACTTTAAAGTCGGCTGCATAAGACGATTAGAAATAGTTGAGATGTGAGTCTAGAAATCTCGCTTGCCGAATGCTGCGAATAAAATTAGCGAAGTTAGTTAAACAACATTTCTTGGTGATTTTTCTGCAAATTTTTTGTAATGTGCAA